TCAAGTGCCATGATATACATACCACATTCCTTAAAGATTGTTTCAGGCATTCAAAGATTATGGGGGGGGGACATACACAGACACACAAAAAGCATATGTTTGTTTTTCCAAATTAAGGAAAGTTGGTTAAAATATTATTTTTAAAACTTCAAATAAAGATAATCTTAATGGAACTTGCAGAAATGCGAAACTTATTCTAAGTTCGATCTTTTTCGTGCAAATACATTTGTAGCTTAATATGGGAATTACCTGTAAAAATAGCAAATTTAAGTTTTGAGTAAGATGTAAAAGTTTGTGACGACGATACATCAATACAAATATTATATTTTTGGATATTATCCACTCTCCTGTCTTCATATAAAAACATTTTTCTGTTCGTTTTTCAAAACAGGACGTTTCGGAGACTGGATTCTGTCTCCGTCTTCAGGTAAAACCTACTAAGCTGGGCCCAATCGACAGAGCTAGTCCCTGTCTCCGGGCGCCTGTACTAACCCAGAGATCGGGTATACAAGCCAAACACAGCACAACCCATCAGCGAGAGCTAAGACACAACATTAAATTATTAAAAATTCTACACGTATGAGGCCATGCACCAGAGAAATATATCGATATAAATTATCGCTGGAGAGAAGTAATACGGATTCCTCAACCAACTACGCTACCGCGTAGCCCTTTTAATAGACTGAATGAAAGTTTATATAGCGATAAACTACTTCTTCAAATATTTACGTCTATGCAGTTTGTAATACAGATCTCACAGGATGGTACAATATAAATGTATTATACTCGTATTAAGGAAGTACTAGGTTCGAGACTAAGTCAGGACATCGACGATCCTGAACGATGTTTATGTTTTTCCTCAGTCCCTTTATTAAAATGACAGGAAAGTTCTCCTTTCAGGCCACTCGTTTCTTTCAAATTCACCATTGAACAATATCCATATGGTTCGACACCATTTAATAAGGATACTGACGTCATAAAGTAGTGCATAAGAAAGACAGATCGGATTTGAAACATAACATAAAAATAATTGTTATAAGTTATGTTATGTTAAAGTTTTGGGTTTTTATACAATTGCATGTGTGCAGCCACCTGATGATTGTCATTTAGTGACCAAAACATGTCATAGAAGTGACTACAACTGTGTACAGTTATCATTTATCGGATTACGAGAAGAGAACGCAACATTAAGGACATTGTTACGCATATGCCCATTGCTAGGCAACGGCTAGATAAACACATTCTCGCAACAAAACAGCTCAACAACAGAGGGGCAGCCATTGCTAGGTAACGGACCGGTAGACACACGTTCTAGGCAACAGTAGACGATAATTGCTAGGCTGAAGATTTATTATGTTATTAAAATTTATTGTTATTATACAAGGAGTGATCAATAAATCCAATTACCAATCCAACCCCTGTCTTAATAGTCACCCTTACATGTGACAATATTATGAAATTAATTGTTATGGCTTAGCATAGTCGTGCAGCCACGTATAAAGGTTTCGGAGGAACTGGCTAATTCATCTTTAATCCCTCAACCTACATATTCCCACCATAATGATTGAAGCAGCATGTTACCCCGAAACGTCGGCATCCGAATACAAGACTAACACGGTGTTGACGCAGAAAATACCAAAAGGTTTATCACGCGTTTGGCAGCGTAGTGAATAAAATTCCATACATAAATTCTAGCACGTAAACCTATCAGCATAATTCCTCTCTCAAGTTTGTTGTAGTGTGCAAGATTTCTTACGGGCCACTGAAATAATCAGTTTTCATTACTCAAAAACGAATGAGCAAACAGCCTAAATAGCAACAACAAACTCTGAACGACGTGGTCGAACACTGAGCACTTAGTATTGGGCAGGTCCCGGTTTCAAATACCGTCCCGGACATTGGCCGTCTTTACCGAGGTTTCTATTGGTTTTTCTTAGTCCATCAAGATATTTGAAGTTACTGGAGGTTACAAATATGATAAGTTCAATTCTAAATGTTTCCGACGATGGTGCACGAAGAACAAAAACTCAGCAATCCCGAAATATGACAATTTTTTGTCTTAGAAAAAGTAAACTTCGAATTTTCCAGTGTTGCCCCCAGATATGATACAACAAAATAAACTTCAGTGGCTTTAGTCCGAAAACGAACTATACCGACCGAGCGACTGCAGCTTGTCGGTGAAGTTAGTGCAAACTTTAGTTCACAGAGTGTCGCGTGGTCAGCGCAACGAATCCCCACGGCCGTTAATTTTGGTTTTCTACTTTTACACTCAAGTACCTCCTCAATTATCTTCACGATGCTGAATGGACCTCGTTCCAAACCCACTACTTCTAAGAAAATTTGCTAGAGCCGGGAATTGAACCCGGGACCTCTGGATCTGTAGCCAGGAACTCTGACCACTAGACCACAGAGGTGGTCATATACATGATACATTGTTCATTAATACGACAGGACGAAATAAATCTTCCCTGTGGTAAAGAAACTGAAGACGTAAACTTACCTTTGAAAAGTAAGACGCTCTGTTCCACTATGCCGGCATTTTGAAGTCTTCGAGTCAGAATAGTTCTGAAAAACAGAATTATCCGCTTAATGATCACTTCTGCTGTTTCGTGCGTCGTGGGGGTTCATTCACCAATTGCACAGCCTAGGTGAACTTCCATTTGTTTTGACATTATATACGTAGTTGGGAAGCCGATCACAGTGGCCGTGCCGTCTAAAGGGGCTCATACACGTACGAGTCTGGCTCGGCGAGCCAGACTTGGGAGCCGGGCTCGGATTAATTTCACCACAAACGCATGAGCTTACTCCCAACTTTGCGACCCACACACGGACGAGTCTGGCTCATTGGAACCCGAGCCGAGTCGGACTCGCGAACCAGACTTGTACGTGTATGAGCCCCTTAAGGCATGAACTCTCTTCGCGCGCTCAAACACTGGGATCGTGGATTCGAATCCCACTTGAGGCATCGATATCTGTGTGCTTTATTCTGTGTTTGTCCTGTCCTGTGTGCCTTGCGACGGCTGATCCCCCGTCCAACGAATCCTACCGACTGTGTAAAGAGATCTAAAACCTGAAAAAGCGGCCAGGGTCCAACAAAGAGCTGTATGGCCATAGAGAGATATAGCTGGGAAGTAATTCGATGACATTCATTCTAGAAAGAGGCGTTAGAATTTTTTTCGTGGGGTGAGGTCGAACTGAATCTTGGTACGTCGGCCAACAATTGCATTATTGTACCAGTACCGGATGACAGATGAGTATGGAGCATTTTCTGAAATAAGATTTGGTAGGGGAAATTGAAGTACTCGGAGGAAAGCTGCCACAGCGCTACTTTTTCCAGCACAAATCCCATATGATTTGACCTGGGATCGAACAACGGACGCCGCTGACTAACCGCCTGAGCTATGGCACCGCCACTGAAGAAGAATTTTCAATGTGGTTTATTTAAAGCCCCAGATGATAGGTGAGGGTGACTGTGGAGCAATTGGTGGAATGAAGATTGGCAGGGGAAACCGAAATACACGGAGAAAACCTGCCACAGCGCCACTATGTCCACCACAAATCCAACTTGACCAGACCCAGGATCGAACCCGGGCCGCCGTGGTGGGAAGCCAACGACTAACCGCTTGAGCTATGACGCGGCCTAAACATAAGGTAAGAAAAAAGTATAGTAAAGCTATCCCTGTACCAGGCCGTGAAGGCCCACAGGGTTGCGAGACGTTGAGGGTCTCACATTTTTAAGACAATCGGCTCAAAGATGGCGGTAAGGTTGTCAGCCTTACGCACCGGCCGCGCTTTACTCCCCAGGAAAATTATTTAATTCCTGGTACTCATTTCTGTTAGAGGCTGAGTCAATCCCAGGGCCCAGAGCGGCTCGAAGGATTAAGTCAACTGAAAAAAAAAATCAAATGACCTAATCGGGACTTGAACCCGCGACCTTCCGGCTTGAGCATAGCCCCTCAACCAACTACGCTACCGTGTAACTGAAAGTTTAAAAAATTATGACCTAATTAAACTTACGTGTTGTCAATGGAATTTCTAAGTAGAAAATCTATCATGAGCTTGGCAATATGGCTGCGTGTCCTTATACACAGCTTCTAGACCCTCGCGAATACTTTACACTCCATACATCCTTCACTCTGAGTGTGTTGTATAGCACTGTCATTTCCCATTCAATATTCAGTGGGGGGTTCAGCTTATATCAATAAAACATTATTAAGTCCCTGCAGGGGGACGATAAGTGTCGAAACGTGTCGCTCTCACCCCCATCAAGTGAGAGGGCCTTCTGGACAATGATTCGTAGCAGTTAAGCTTTACAAGATAACAACCATACTTCTGGCTGCTTCATTCTAGTCACGTTGCCACGTAAGTGGTTTCATGGGATATCACGGTCGATAACTTCAAAATAAGAGAACTCTGCAATTCTCCACCCTTCAGACGAGGTGATGTTTGCCACTCCTGCTCCTTTAGTAGCTTTATAAAAGGCTGGATTTTGTCTTACAGCTTACTGTAAGTCATTGTGCATAAAGTTTTCTCCGTGCTTAACTACGTACTACGCCATGAAGACGTAAGGGGGAGTGGATATATAGACCCAAGTTTTCTTGATGTCGGCAGTACTTGGAGGTCAATGGTCAGCTTCGCGCCCCAGCCGTTTTACCCCCTGTACCCGTTGGGTAGGAAGCTGGGTGGGCCACAGGACCAATATGGAAGACTTGGAGAATGTAAAATTCTTGACCCTACGGGGACTCAAACTCAGACCCTTCGGTGGTCTAGCCAGTAGTCAACCGCTGTACCGACTGCGGCATTCCGGCTCTCAAAATTAAGTACGTATCGAGTGTAACTAAGTTGAGAATTCTGGTTGAAGAACAAAGTTTACATACTTCAAGAGGGATGTTGGCTGCACTGAGAAGCTTGCTGATAAGGTTAAAGAGATTGGAACAACGTGTTGCATCATGATGATGATGATGATGATGATGATGATGATGAGCGTTCAGGATGGTCATTTTTTTCCCTTGGCACTACAGCTCCAGTGGGCCTAGGCCTACCTCCATGAACTTCTCCGTTCACTTCGGTTTTTCTAGATCTTAGACATTCGGTAGGACTCCTTGGGCGGGTGATCAGCTCGTCGCAAGGCCTCTACCTGTACACAAACACATAAAAAAGCACACACATAAACTAAACATCCATGCCCTGAGTGGGATTCGAACACACGATCCCGGTTTCCAAGCGAGCGAAGACACTACATGCCTTAGACCGCTCGGCTACCGTGACCGGCAGTGTATAAGAATAATATATAAGAATTCAGTTCGTATCTCACAGGAAACAGATCCGAACCCACGATCCCAGCTTCCGAGCGAGCGAAGACAGTACATGCCTTAGACCGCTCGGCTACCGTGACCGGCCAGGATGGTCGTTATCTGTATCATTTTGAAATTTTCGTGCGACAGCAGAACAATTAATTTTGCTGTCATATGAAAACTTCTTAATTAAACAAATGCATTGAAAGGTGGGGCCATTACGAAGAAAAATAAGACATGCCTACTGCGACGTTATGTACAATTACTAACAACAAAATGGCCTTTAATTTTGCAGTATTTACCTTCCTACGTATAATTTTAGGAACTTGGAAATTTTATTTGAATTAATGCAGTAATTACTATGTATTTTATAATGTAGGGTAACACTGAAATATTATCATTTAGTTGACATTATGATAGCGTTTCAGGTGCTGGTAACCACATTCCTGGGCCGCGCCACAGCTCAAGCGGTTAGTCGCTGGCTTCCCACCTCGGCCGCCTGGGTTCGATCCCGGGTCTGGTCAAGTGGGATTTGTGGTGGACAGAGTGGGGTTGGGGCAGGTTTTCTCCGAGTACTTCGGTTTCCCTTGCCAATCTCCATTCCACCAATTGCTCCACAATCACCCTCATCCATCAGAAGTGGCTGCAGTACAAGGAACTTAGTCCCAACCCACTAGCAATAAAAAAAACACTCCTGAAAACTCTGTTTTTAACGCCCTGCAGTATTTACTGCAGGGTGTCCCACATGGAATGAGATTCTATATTAGACAGAGTGAAATATAAGAGAGCATACGTATTGTAGCGTGTAGAACCGTTTCCAGACAACGATCACAAACAAACAGGTTCCCGCGGCAACAGTCGGCGCGCAACATTAGAGGTACTGTTGGAAACGGTGTTTTCTACGTTGGTCCGAGCCGAGGGGTTATAAAGAGGACAAATGGAGCAAGAATGAACAGTTGAAAGGGTGCAGCCATTCAGAAATGACTAGAGCACAGAAGCAGAGGAACAAACATTGTTGGAACCGTAGTAAGGGGGCGTCTAGTGGAGATTGTAACTGACTAAGAACACTAGACTGTGTACTCTAGTGATTTGTGAAGTGCGGAGATCAGCGATGGCGCTATAATTGCGAGTCGCATGTCAAGGTGGTCAACATATATAACATCACACTCAAAACAACGCCGAGAGTCGCTCATGCACGTGACAATATTGTCGTGTGTATCACTGACTAAAGACGGGGTTCGGATTGGTAACTGGATTTATAGCAACCTACACTTCGTAACCACATTCAATTATTACACTATTGCTGCTTTACACAATGTACAATCACTCCACATTAATCTCTTCAGTCTACTCGTATCTTGACTAGTCTTCACGGATTTATAACACAGGAACTATAATAATATCACTGAATCACACACTCCAAATTTTACACATAAATAAAATCTTCAAATCACACGTGAAGTTTTCACAGGCTGACTTCTTGTACTCTTCTGCACTCCTAATGAAGCTGACCACTCACCTCCAGATAGTGACGAGGTCAAGAAAATGTGGATCTATAGTATATCCATTCCCCTATACATTTTCATGGCACAGTGGTTCAATAGTTAAACACAGGGAAAACTTTACCTTTATGATAGAATTCTAGTATGCTATATCGAAATTCACACAGGTAACTTAACAGTTAGCCGGTCACGGTAGCCGAGCGGTCTAAGGCATGCACTGTCTTCGCTCGCTCGGAAGCAGGGATCGTGGGTTCGGATCTGTTTCCTGTGAGGTATGAACTGAATTCTTATACACTGCCGGTCACGGAAGCCGAGCGGTCTGAGGCATGTACTGTCTTCGCTCGCTCGGAAGCCGAGATCGTGGGTTCGAATCCCACTCAGGGCATGGATGTTTGTGTACGTTTTTCTGTGTTTGTCTACAGGTAGAGGCCTTGCGACGAGCTGATCAC